ATTTTTGACTTACCACAAGCAGTCAAATATTTGTCTGAGGATGCAGTTCTGAGCTGTTTGCGATCGGTGCGGCAGAAGTACGCTCAAACTGCGCAGGCGTAACAAAGCATGGGATGCAAGAGGATTTTGTAGATGAGTAACTTGTTGTCAATAGATAAAACACGATTCTGGGCAATTAAGGGGCAGAGTTTAATCGCACTCATAGTTTGTTTTGTGCATGCCAATGATAGTAGCCTCAAGGGAACGAAGCTTTTGAGAGCTCTACCTGATAAAAAAATTATCTGCGAATTTCAATGAATGAACAACGATTAAGAGGTCTTTGTATACTAACAGCAGAAATGCAGACTGCACGTTCATTTACCATTGACAAGTTAATTAAAATGTTTGGTGCTAAAAAAACACGAAATATGAACCTTTAAAGAAACGTTGGAAAAAGTTATCTAAAAAGGAACAAACAATTTAAAAATAATAATAATTTTTAAAAAGTCTGAAAGCTTTCAGATTCATATTATGCCCAAATGGGCGTTTTTTTTTCATTTACAAACACATACACATTTCGACAGCATTTGGACTAACGCCGCATTGTGCTAAAAATATTAAAAAACAGCACATTTTTAGAATTTCCGATTGACAGTCTCGCGCACTGGCCTCTCACAGATTGAAAACGTGTAAGTCCATCGACTATTATTGCTTCCCTTATCATCACACCAATATAATTGAAATAGTCATGTTCCATACCATTCGAAGGAAAATTTCGCATTTCTGGCTCAACTTCAAGATGTAAACATTTAGAATCAGATGTTAAACTAAACTTTGAACTCATCAGCATAAAGATAATAGGAGGTTTGGTATTCACGCTACATTGCAGCAATTAAAGCAATCAGTCTTTTGTTGTCAATGCAGTGAAACACATTCCCTTGGCTTTCTCGAAAAGGCCTTTTTCATTGAGGTTTCTCTTTACAGTTTGCAGTGATACAATAGTTCAGTGGCAACTGCAAGCTCTGAACTTGACTGCAGAGCTCTAGACTTCCTGTTATGATGGGCAGTTATTGCAAGACATTGGTACTGAGAAGCAGCTGGTATTCATTTACTGCCTTATGCGAGCTTCTTTAAAATAGTTCCAGAAATCTGAAATTGTTTCCATAGTATAGAGACAGTCTATCTGAAAATATTCACACATCGCTGCTTCCATGGTTATCTGCCCTGCTTCTAGAAGGGCAATAATTCACACTTCATGGATTCCATTAAATAATACTTCAGACATGCATGCTGTTTTCAGTCCTTACACGCTGAAATCAAATGCTGTTTACTCAGATATTCACTTTGTATCAAGCACTTGATTTGCTATCAGATGAAATAATGCCTTGATTTGCTATCAGATGACATAATGCCTTGATTTGCATATCAGAAACCATTTTATCACATTTGATTGGGTAGTGCTAGCTTGTCCTTTACATTCCCTGCAAAAATGGATAACTCTGATTGGATATTTCATTGAATATTGGGCTGAATTATATATTTTTGAGCCTGTAAAGATAAATTTGGACATGAGGGCATTTTAAAAAACAAAAGTTTTGAATATGCAACACTCCCCCCCCAAATAAGTTTTTCCGTAATCAAAATTGTAGTTATGTGGTGTTGCCATTGGAAAGTATTCAACTGCAGCTCTTCTTCTTGAAGCTTGGCTTCCCTTTGATGCCAGCCCTTTTAACTCATAAAAGAATATTACATGACTGGGTTCAAAGCATGCTTATGTCAGGAAATAAAAATGGCATGCATTTCTTGCAAGCAAACAAAACCTCACAGAAGTTAGAAGCTTATATACAAAGATTACTTCCGGATAATATATGTAATCTCTACATATAATAAAAGAAAGAGTCTGTGTGTCTTTTGTTTGTGCTGCGTGTAAGCTAATAGGCCGAGGGCTACGAAATTTGGAATATATGTGCATCTAGACAAGAGCCAGTGCACCTCAAAGCGATTTTTTCTAAATTCGAATCAGATTTTTTTTTTATTTTATCGCATCATTTTGAAGAGTTTCATTCTTTTAGAAATGTGGTTTTGGCAACAGTTTTCCATTTAATTGTATACTGGACTGCTATCAATAATCACATAATATCAGCACTGTTGACTCTTGAAAAAATGAGGGCGATAATTCTGCGCATTTTTAAAATTTAATGTTTCTCTTGGATACTGGACATTTGTCGAGAGAAGGCAACGGGAAGTTGGCTAATTTATTTATTAGAATAATTAATATTTGTATTAAGGTATATTGCTTATTTCATTGTAATTTTGTTATATGTAATACATTTTTTATATGAAGTTGTTTTGCAGAGTAAAATTCTGCACAGTTCTTTAATTTAAAGTTTGGTGTTCCATTCAGGCATTTTTCCGGACATTTAAAAGCCAGACAAAGGCTGGCCGGGTAGCTGCTAGTAAATAAGTATTAGAAACTTAAAATCACACTTAAAAATACTATTTCTTATGCTGTGGAAATTTTTAACATCAAGCATCTAAAAATCTGAATTTCGATTGGAATAATGAAGACATCCTACACATAATACAAAGTTTTTGCCATCTTTCAGTGCTGTTTAGGAATTTTGACTTAAAAGAATATTTTTACTATTTGCGATTACTAGAACTTAGCAAATATCGGCATATGTTGAAATTTGAGATAGCTTACAGCATTTCTAAACATTATTCTTTGATACATTAATAAGATAGGAATAAACTTAAGAGATTACTTTCACTGTAAAATTTTACATAAAATGTTTTTCTTTTTTTTGTTTTTTTGTTCCTGTTTTCAATATTTGTTTAGTCGAAACTGCTTTTTAATTGATTTCCACATCTGCTTTAAGTATATAGGTCTTCCTAACCAATTCTCAGCTAATCAAAATAAATTAATATTTATGGCAAGATTAGTTAGACCAGTTTTACTGGATTTACATTTTAAGGTTTTTTAATACCTTTCCTAGCCAGTATTTTACACCTTTAACTAACAAAATACCACAGAAACTTTTGTTCTAATTAACAGCTTTTTGGTTTACAAACTTTAAAACGCTTATCTTTAATGATGTAATCTTGAGTTGCTGTCTGTCATTTTGAAAGGATATTCTTGTTAAATTTATATAAAGATATTTATTGAAAAATCCTCATTTTCTATCTATTTTTCTTTCTAGTCAGAGCTCTTGAAACCATCACTTAAATTATCATACTTACATAACTAATTGAAAATCATGCTATTTCAACAGTTTCTTTTTTTTTAGTCATATCTCTTGAAGCCATCACTTAATATAAAACTTAATATAAAATTCCAAAATACCCTGGCTTCAAAAATTAAGGAAAAATCACAAAACTACCAACAACTCATTCAAAAATAATCCAATCCATAAAAATTTTGAATATGTTGTCAAGTTAGAATTGCTGACTAAAACTGCAGTATACAAATTAGTGGCACTGCAGCCGAAATATGTCATCTGTGAGGAGCATAAAATTGCATGTTTCAGAGCAAGCCTGCAAATTTTGTTGATACTGAGATAAGAAATCTGGGATAGCCAATTTGTAACAATGACCACCAGGCATCATTTGCCTGAAGAACTGCAATGGAGAGCTATTAGCAGACTAGAGGCAGGACAAAGGCAGACAGAAGTGGCCACATGGCTGAATGTGAGTTCTTCTGTGGTTCATAGACTTTGGTAACAATTTCTAACCACAGATTCAGCATCCAGGAGGTTCAGTCAAAAACAACTAACCACTACAATCACTACTGATCAATATTTCTTGTTATGCACATCAAGGAACAGAATCTCAATTCTGATCTCCCTTGCTGCAGTCACTAAAAGGTTGGTGCCAATGTCAACCACGCATAGAAAGCTTCACGAAGGAGGTCTGTATGCGAAACAACTAGCCATTTGCACGTCACATCATAGAAGGGAACATTTGATGTAGGCACGTCAGCATGTCCAATGGAGGATTGTTCTCTTTACGGATGAGTGCAGGTTTAGCATGCAAAGCGATATAGTATAGTGTTATTTGATTTGGAGAGAACCTGGAATCCATTACCATCCATCAAACATCTGTGAAAGAAATGCATACAGAGGAGGCAGCGTCTATGTTTGAGGTGGTATATCTTTGGGTGGATGCACAAACCTCCATGTCTTTCCATGTGCAACCATGAATGCTCAGGCCTATAGAGATTACATCCTTGATGCTTATGTGCACCCTTGTGCTGGGACAATAGCTGATAATTTCCTGCTCCTGGATGACAAAGCTAGACCGACAGGTTCGCATTTTGGATGATTATCTTCAGCAGCAAACAATTCAGTGATTGGAAAACCAGCTAGATCATTGGACCTGAATCCTATTGAGCATGTCTGGGATGCTTTAGGAAGACATATAGCTCGCAATTCTCCTTTTCAGACCCTTGCAACTGCTTTGCAAGAGCAATGGCTCTCACTTTTTATGGAACGGCTAGACTGCATAACTGACAGCATCACACATTGCTGTATGTGTTGTAGTGCTTCTAGAGGAGCTCATGCTCCATATTGAAGGTAATTTTCCTACACCAAACTATATACATATGTTAATTTTTATAACACCATAACTTATATGGTAATTCCTTTTCATGTTATTTTATACCTTACTATGTGCTGTATACTGTGAGTCAGTTTCATTAAGTTCTAAATGTAACTTTTTGACTAATGAACATTTTTGTGATTTTTCCTTAATTAATGATAACGAGCATATATCAGCTACTCACCTATTAATCCATTTTTCGTCATTTTGCAAAGAGAAAAACTTCATCAAGTCATTTAGTGTTTACATATTTATTCTGCCGACAACAAAATGGAAAGGCTTAAATCAAATGAAATGATTTGTTTACTATTTCATTTGCTCACGATTAAAGATACATTCACATGTTTTTCAAACATAAAAAATTGATACTTTTCATTATTCACTGAAAACTACATGCAAAAGAGATAAGAATAATGACTCAAAGATTTTAAATAAGAATTAAATATTTTATTGTATAATACATTATTTACAATTACACAACATATCTTCCACGTGATTTTTCTTGATTACCACAATATTCATTATAAACTAGTTTTGCTAAAAAGAGATGGAAAACAGCTATAAGGAATGCTATGGAAACCCAGAAAAATGCTGGTAGTCCACCTAGTTGATGTCCATGCCTATGTAATGCAATAATATGGTGCTCATGTGGAGGAGCTGGAAAGATATATATATTTTTTAATGTTATTTAAAATACTAAATAGCATAGAGAATTTTTATTATTATAAGAACTTAATGATGAAAATAAATGAAATATTCAAATAAATATTTTTATTATGTTCTTATTCGAGCATTTGTATGATATAAAAGTTCTTTTTAAAGCATGAAATCTGGTAAATTTAACTGTATTAAAAAAAGAAAAAAACCATTAAAAGTAACAAAATATTACTATTATAGTACAGTACAAAGTCTAAAATCCAAACATCCAATATCTGGTTCTTTGGACCATCAGCCAAAGTAAATAATATACAAATAAAAAATATCTCCCCTTGCAAGGTCTAGAAATGGAGAACATAATAACAAGCAGGTGTGCCATAAATTTTGATTTTTCTCCAGACTAAAGTTCCTCCATGTTACTTTCTACTGCTGGCTAAGGAGTCACATCATAGCTGATAACAATGCATTGATTGACGTTGCATTGATGTTGGCCGGAATGACAATTTTGACCTTTAACTGGTTGTAAGGGAGGGGGATAGGGCTGATGCTTAGCATTTTGCAGCCTGGTGCAATCTTCATAAGTCTTAAATTCTGCTGTACCAGTACCTCCCTAAATTCTTAAAATTTTGCTAACCTAAATTATAAAAATACTGCCATCTCCCAGTTTTTGCTGTTTGGTGTGTTCTTCTAAATTTTAAAATTTTTGCCAATCCTAAAGTCTGACATGCAAGTACGGCTGCACCAGTTGCACTTTTTCTGATGATGGCCCTAGGGAAGGTTAGCATTTTTCTATCTGACCTAAACAATAAATAGCTTCATTGTTGCAATGCCTACATGTCATCTTACCAGATATAAACTTATGATCTAAAATCTGGAATTGTTGAAATCCTGATAATTCCAGATATTAGACTTTGTACTGTACAATAATTTAGATAAAATATATTTCCGAATGAAGGTAACGTTATTAATATTAGAAAATATAACAATTTTATTAAATATTACTATTCTGGCCTGAGTATAACAGCTTGCATATAACATGTCTTTGTATTCCTTTTAGCATAAAACTGAGATAAATATTAAATTAACGTACTTTTAAATGTTAGGTTTTGATATAAGACAGACATGATTTTTTCATGTGAGCATTTTAAAGGACGGGGATACCCATATTTTGGACAATACTGTGATAAAATTGTTGAATAAAAAGTTTCTTAATATCAGATTTAAATTTCTTAATTCAAATTTGAATTCTCCTCTTTTTTTTTGGCAGAAGGGAGTGGGCTAGCAGAAATAACAGCACACTAATTTTGTTAATTTCTTCAAAAAATCTGACTCAATCTCAGATGACTAAAGCAAGAAATTTTAATGACTTTTCATATTTATTTTTATTATTTTTAGAAAAACGACATCAAATTAAAAATATACCTTCCATAACTCCACTGATATGTATGGCATGCTTGAGTTCCTCCATATGTTGTTTGTCTGCAGTTATGTACAATATGGCAGTAATTGGACTAGTCAGTTTTACAGGTAGCTGCACAGGTTCTGATCTACAAAGACATGTTCAAATTATATGATTAACTTAGCTTACTTGGATGAAATTATTTTTTACAATATTTCAGCAGCTTATTAAACCCCTTTACAACTCCAAATCTTATGATAAACAACAAAACATTGGAAAATTATAATTTTTATTTTATTATTAAAGAAGGGGAATCCCCAATATATATAATAAGTATTTTTAAAACATATTTTACATAAAAAAAATTTTTTTATATCAAAATGCAATCAGACTTGCAGTTTTGTGGTTGAAATTAATACACTAATACCATTCTACTATAACAAAACTTTTAAATTAGCATATTGCCAATCAGATATGAACAGCTAAAAATAATATTCACAAATGCTTCTAAAATTATTATTATTATTTAATGAATCCCATTCGTCTTTTTGAATGTTATATATTTGTGTATTTTGTCTCAGTTTTTTGATACATTTAAAATACATAATACAAAAGTATACTAAAGGATTAATTAAAATTCAGCAAAATTCAATTAACATATGCACATGCCCCTCAACCCCAATTCCTCTTTGCCTCTTTATTATCAGTATTTTTTAAAAAAAATTATTTATAATTAAAGCATAAGGACTTTTACAGTAAGCAAGCTTCTATATAATATAAACGAGATATATTAAAAATTAAATAATTTATTAATCTGCAATCACTAAAAATTAAAAAGTAATTTTTAATTTGGTTTTTTAGATTTCAGCTACAAGGACATCTGAATAGTGCCTTAAATTGTTTCAATGATACATAAAACTTGTGAATATTAAAAAAAATCCAAAATTCCATTCTTTCCTATAATGTGAAATATTTGTTCTAGAACCCCTATTCAGTTTATGTACAAATAATACACAAACTGAATAGGAATTCTATAACTAAAGATCCTGAATTCTACAATTAGAGCTTTCATGAAATACAATATAGAAGGAAATCATAGAAATATTTTTTTGTTGCTTCCAATAAAAATAACACACATTGTAATCATCCACTTAAAACAAAAACTTATTCTTTACTTCTAATTAAAATATGCAGATGACATAAATCTATATGTTGCTACAGAATTTTGTTAACACCATTAAGTTTTATTTTTGATGAAGTTAATAGTGTATAAGCAGGATTACAGAGAAATTTAGTAGTCAGTGTCTATAATAATTGGTTTTAGGAAAATTTTTCACGAATTAAACAAATTATATAAATGTCATGAAAATAATTAATTTTTATGGTAAAAGAAATCATTTTATAGGAAAATAACGGTAAAGTCAAAGCACATGAATAATAAATATCATATTAACAATCTTGCTGTCCAAAAGAGAACCTAAACTGTAAAGTACATGTTGTTCATAAACATGTATATAATTCTCTTTATTATACTGGCTAGTAGCTTATCATTATAATTTAAAACATAAATAAAAATATCTAAAGTTACTTAGATTGGCCAAAAGTATAAACTGTTTTAATTTTTTTCATGATTTTCTTCTTCTAAAGCAAAAACATTAAACCCTTAAAACTGCATAATAATAATAATAAAATAATAATAATAATAATAATAAAAAGTTAAAAAATTGATTTTTTTTTTAAAATTCAAAGGAAACTGTTCAAAAATAAGTGTATGAGCAATATATGTATTCATTTTTTATTTTTGGAATTTTATTTCGCTCAAGAAATCAAGAAAATATGTAAAATAAGAAATAAATTTTTTTCTGGATATAAGAAATGGATTGTTTTTAATCTTTTTAGTAAATTTATATTGAACACTCCAGCCCAGAATTATCAAAGGCACAAGAAATATATGACGAAACCTCACCCGTAAATTTCATGGGTGTGAGAAGGAAAGTGTTAATACATATTAATAAATATTTGTTAATACTAATACTGACACCAAATGTTAAGAAAATGCCTGCATTTAACAGTAAAATGGGAATTTTATTAAAATTAAAAGCATTAACAAACTACAGTGCAAATGCCATTGGGCACTGCACAACTTAAGAGAATTAAATAATTTTAGCAATTAATTTTCCTCTCTCAAACATACATTATTATTATTATTATTATTTACATGTCTTTACTAAATATTCATAAAATTAAACAAGAAATTATTTCCAGTCATTTATATTTAATTACATTTACAGAACTCACCCAAGTTTCACTGGAGAATCTAAACAACCAGCATCACAGGCATAATAATCTTTATCACTGCGATCCAAGGCAGCATAAATCACAGCTTTATTATCTTCTTGAACAATAACACTAACATTCACATGTGTGGCATTACCATAAATAATGCGTCGGAAATAATAATCTCTGTGCAATCTTTAGGCTCGGTATCAAATTCCAAATGGTGATCACTGAATTTAAAACCACCAAAACTTAGTAACATGGCTTGCATCACTCCTTCCGCTCCTGGAAAGTTATTCAGTAAATTATTCAATGATTCAAACTTGAAACAATACATTAAAATCAGAATAACTTACAAAACATAATACATAAATACAAACAAATTTCATAACTGGAAATAATTTTAATAAGTCAAAACTAAGAGCTTACAAACTGAATTCTCAATATTTTCTTTAAAGAAATTTTTACGACATGCATATCTCAATGTTTTTTTTTCATTTCTATGTTGTTTTTAAACATTACTGTGTTATAAATTACTATACAGAAATGCAAAATGAGTTTGTTTTTATATGTAATAAATCAATACATCCACTAGTATATTATAAAGATATTCATGTTTTTCAGGAGAAATTAAATTTATAAAAGATGTTTCACAGATGTACCTTCATTATATTAATGATAATTTACTTATTTATAGTAATGATAATTTACTTATTTATATTAATGATGACACCAAAACTTTCTGAAAAGCGTGAAAGAACTTCCCTTTTATAATAAGAATAAACGAGAAACTTCAATTTGAACTCATGAACTTTTGAAAAATACAGAATTTTTTCCTTCGGTAAACTTTTCTCTGTTGAAGGAAAAGTTGCAACATTGACTTAGATAACACACTTCAGACCTTGGTGTGTATTTTTTTAAAGGTCCATGATCTTGCAATCCCTCAGAAATCTTTTTATTCTTGTTTGAACCAAATTTGATAAGCTGGCAAAAATTCTTCATGCCTCGACAACTCCTACCCTCCCAAAAATGTTAATTCAAATGTAAGGATGGAAGTGGGATGACAAAAGTAGTGATTATTATAGCAATGGCAATGTTAATGTACACTGTCTTTGTACGTTTTAATGATTGTTCAGTTTTCTTCTAAACTTTATTGCTGCCTTGCTGCTAATATATATAAGGCATGAATAATATGCATACTTGACATGAATAATATCAAAAGTGTCTTACATACATTAGAGTGGGGAATATATATATTTCTAAGGCATAGCATTTAACATATTTATTATCTTACCAGCTAGCAACAGGCGCTGGCAACCTTGCTTAGTCAATGTGAGAAACCACAAGTCTACAACTTTATTTACATCAGTGATAGTTTTCAAATCTGACCACAGAGTTGAGGCTTGCCTGTTAAAAAAAAAACAATGCTAAGAGCCTAATAAAAAATACATAATTTTACTATTCCTACACATCAGATAAATAGGATTTAAATTTATTCTATAAAAATGCACAACAGTATTTTTAATAATCTTTCCTTTACTGAATATGTATAAAAAAACATTCACATGGCACTAATTTATGACAAAGTAATTCCCTATAGTAAGTTTTTTCTCTGCCTATTACTTGGCAGTACTATGTTAGGTAGTTCATTTTACTACTTTGATTTTATGCTTTGCATCATAAATTTCTGGAGATTAATTCTTGAACTAACAGAACATTGTAAATGTTTATCTTAAAAATGTTTCACATATTTAACTGGAATTTTAGAATGACTGCAATTTTAATGATTTTTTAATACTTTAAATATTTTTTATTTGTTCTGAGCCCTGCAAATTTCAAGATTTAACAATTTACGAATAAAGATTAGAAATACATATTCTTTTAATAAAACTAAAATTTTCTCAGAAAAAAAATTTACCACATTATTTATATGCAACACTAATTACAACAGTATTTATAGGAGAGAAAGTGTCCTTCTAAGTGTTGCTCTAATGATACAACTCTTTGTAGTTGCATTTATAATAAATGCATCTAAACTTCTTCAACAGAATTTCTTTCAAAAATATATTGTTACGAAATGTACAGGCACGGTAAGATGGCTTCCACGCAAAGCAGTTTTAGGGTTGCCATAATATGGGAAGGGAAAACAGGGTTGCCACATTTGGCAAGAAATCACCCATTTGGTGACAAAATTGGCAATTTGCCATGGACGGATGGAGAACCTTCTGGAATGAATTCTTACCAGTTTAGCCCAGAATGTTCTCAAACACAAGCTGAAAGCTATATAAACCCTGCTGGTACGCGGAGAGTTAGTTAGTATCGAGTGTGTGCCTCGTCTAGCGAGCTGATAGTCAGTCATTGAGCAAGTGTCTCGAAGTCTAGCGCCGAGTTGGTAGTCAAGCACATCAAGAGAGTCTTTTAGTTTATTGCGAATTAGTGCACCGTTTTGTCTTAGACTGCGCTGAGTCAAGAGCTATACTCTTGTGTATTGTCAAGTGCATCGCGAGTTGTAGCGTGGAGAGTATGTGGAGTTCTGAGAACGACCGAGCAGAGTCGGAAGCTGTACTCTGGTGCTTTGCAGTGAAGCTATCTCCACCGTTATTGCCTGACAGTGTGAAGGCTGTGTCGCTGATTGTTCCAGCGAGTTTATTGTAGATCTTCGATGACTGTAAAAGGGTTTTGGAGCTGTCCTGATATTGGTAAATAAAGTGTGTTTCGATACTTCATCAAGTGTTGTTGTTATTCACTCCAAATCCACAAGAACCCCGTACGAACGTGATGGAAGAAAATAACGTAACAATTGGTATCAGAAAAGAAAAACGCAACAACTGATGTCAGGAGTAGGTTTTGCGAGTGAATGCCAGCCACCTGCCTGCAGAAGAAAGCCATGGCAGAAGAAACGAAGACTTTGATGGACCTTTTAGCAGAGTTGAAAGCCGGACAAAAAGTGATGAAAGCTGAAATGAGAGCTAAAATAAAAGCCAAATATGTTGAGATATAAAGAGATGAAGGCTGACATGAAAGCCGGACTGGCTGAGATAATAGCCGGGTATGATACGATGAAAGCTGGACGGGAAGAGATAAAAGCTGGATTTAAAAAGATGACAGCTGAGATCAAAGGCGGACTGAAAGAGATGAAAGCTGGATTAGAAGAGAAGATATCCCAACGAGAAGAAATAAATGTCGGCCAAGAAAAGGTGCGAGAGCAACTCCAACAGGTGAAAGTGGAGCTTACAGAAGAAACTGGTGCCATAAAAGACAATATGGAAATGATAGAAATGGTACCTGAAGAATCAAAGGATGAAGAAATGAAGAAAGTAGCTAATGAACTGTCCGAGGAAGATCAAGAAATGAAAGATGAAACAAATAATGGGATAAAAGAAATAGAACGAAATCATGAAGAAATAAAAGATGGGAAAGAAGCTTTTGATTCTCAAGTGCCTGATATTCAGGATATAGCAAGTTTATGTATGGATAAAAGTTATAAATGTAAAGCATAGCATACTATGCCTGGACAGAGTATATGAATATAATGGGGGATAGATAAAAGTTGAAAATATGTGGAAGTGAAATCCTGTTCCCAGCTGTCAAACACTGATTTGTCTAATCATGTAGTGTTATCTAAATGGTGATATAATTCAGTTTTTGTCAAAAGTTTAAATGTACAATTCATGCAGTAGTAAAAATGGCAAAGCTAAAACAGTAAAAATTATTCATTACAATTATGAGTGTTATCCAAATATCTAAAACTTAGAATTTAGATATTTGAATGACAGGCACATTGTTATTGCTTCATGAGCAGTGCGTTGCTCACCCTGTACAAAACAATAATGCTTATTTACATAAAAAGCAAATAATTTTGCAATTACTGCTCAATTTAATGATAGTAAATGCCATATTTCATATGCAATATAGATAACAAGTCCATAAATAAATATCACATGAAATATAAATTAGAAGAGAATACGTATGCTAATAATTACTTATATATACTAATTCTTTTTCAATTTCTAATTTATGCCTTGGTTTAAAGAAACTTATTATTATGGTTGTCTTCACATAAGGGAATTTGTTGATTAAATAAAACACTTGAGTTAAAATAACATGCCAAATAACGATTACTGGAGAAGTTAAAGCAACGAGAATCAGCCTAATAGTGATTCTTGTTCCTTTAACTCTTCCAATAAACAAAACACTAGCTTACTATAACAAAATTAAATGATGAAATGTTTACAATTGAAAAAGATATATTTCTTACAAAGTATGATGTCCACCATAACACTTGTCAGGCATATACAGATGTTTTTGATAAATAAGGCGCTGCTGTGGTGTTATGTCAGTTTCTGACATATAATCTCTGGAATTAGACAGAATATAATACAATGTTGCATTTATTTTATCGCCATTTAAAGCACCTTGAGCTCTTGAGATACTTATACTAAATCCACTGTGCCACAACTGTGGAAAAAAAAAAGCAAAGTTAAGATGCATATTTTCTCAAACAAATGCACATTAATAAAACATTTTATTTGATCTACTAGAAAGTTCTCTCCGTTTCTATGAAAACAATTTTCGACATGCAAGTACATGTTTATTTGGCACATGTTCAGCTCTCTATTTTTATCACTTAACGTATATATACTGATGTAGAAAACTAAATAAAACAAAGTTGATTCAAGCTAGTCGTAAGTGCAAAACTATGGTGTACCCATTGCTACTGATAAAATTCATTTACACCACTGTAGTTTATATGAATTTCAACAAGGAAGAAATGCTACAGAAGCAGGTAGAAATTTATTGAAAGTGTTTGGTGAAGGTGCAGTTTCTGACAGGACATGCAGAAAATTGTTCGAAAAATTTGAAAGAGGTGATATCAACCTTTTTGATAAGCCACGATCTGGGCGACCATCTTTGGTCGACGATGATGTTGTTGAGACCATATTGGCGCGAGATCCTTTTCCAACAACATCAGAGATCGCAGAAAGGCTTGATTTAGCTCAACAAACCATTTCGGGCCATATTCAGAAGATAGGATTGGTGTGGAAATATTCAAGATGAGTGCCACATGAATTAAGTCAGAAGAATTTAGATGATCGAGTCATCATATGCACATCTCTGCTTGATCGGAACAAAATCGAACCCTTCTTAAACCGGATGATAGCTGGGCATGAAAAGTGGATTACCTACGATAACATCGTAAGGAGAGGGCATATTGTGAGTCCGGAAAATCTAGTCCTTCCACCTCTAGACCAAAATTGACTTTGGATAAGAGAATGTTGTGCATATGGTGGGACATTCGAGGACCAATATATTATGAGCTTTTAAAACTGAACAAAAAGCTCAATAAGGAGAAGTACTGTCAGCGACTGGATAATTTAAAGACAGCAGTCCAAGTAAAGAGGCTGGCAATGTTCAATAGGAAGGGCACTACCCTGCACCATGATAATGCCAGGCCACATGTTGCTTTAGGGACTTGTTAAAAAATTGCAGAACTAGGCCGGGAAATTCTGTCACATCCACCATATTTCTTGGACTTAGCACCCTCCGACATTCACTTGTTTTTGTCCTTACAAAATTTTTTGAAAGGCAAAACATTCAAGAATGAAGAAGATATCAAAAAAGCACTGGTTCAATTTTTCGCATCAAAAGATACAACATTTTTCAAAAATGGGATATACACATTGCCCTCACGCTGGCAAAAAACCATTAATAATAATGGCAATTATATTATTTAATAGAGTTTATTGACAGTAAGAAAAATTTGTATTTTGTGTTATTCTAAAAAAGGACAAAACTTTCCAGTAGACTATATATAAAAACTTACTTTTTTCCATGCTTCAATATGTTTCATCCTTAAATACAAAGGATCAGAATCAAGAGCATTTCTAAGATCCTATAATTCAAAACAATTATGTGAATATATATAGACTAATTCCAAGAACGAAAAATCTTCAAATGAAGTTGTTATGAAATACAAACCATCTGAGACTGTGATTCTAGCTTTTCTTTAACAGACTCTGGCTTTATGACAGATGAAGGCTCTGAATAATGAACAGATGTCCTTATAATGAGTTTTTTAGAGCTAAAATTTACAATAATATTTTACTGACATTTAATTATTTTTGTTTCATACATATGTACTATAATTTTAGCCTATAATTCATATTCAGTTATTATGCTATTTATGATCAGCTTTTCAGAAAAAATTGATCTCATAACCCTTGAATAACTTTTAAAATTTGAAAATATCAAACTCTTTGCAACTAATGAATGAACATGTCATATTTCACACACTTTAAAATAAATTAAGAATTTAGTAAATATACACACACACACACACACAAAATGAGAAATTTGGATATTCCAATTTAGAAGGTCACAAGGGGAGTCATCAACTTTACACAAAAAAATCGAATTTTATTTTTTTTTTTGCATTTTTAGAAACTGTAGTTATTTCTGAGTCTGTTAAAACAAACGGCATTACGATATTCGAATTAGAACCTTAAAAATTATGAAATAAAGAAAGTGAATCCAAGTTGAATGTTGCCAGATCGGGCATTTATTTCATCACCTGACCTTTATTTACGTCTGTACGCACAGCTGCTTACGAACGTTCACTCGTAGATTGCTTTAATTTCAAAAATTCAGAAAAGAATGGGCGAAAGCGAAAGCAAGAAATGAAGGGAAAGAAACTTAGCGAAGGTAAAACTCTCAGTGGAAAAGATTGCCTTACGGATGATATTATAAAACAATTGACATTTTATTACAGAAATGCTATTAGAAAACATGGCAATTCTGTAAAAGATATGCAAAAGGCAGTATGGGCAATATTTTACCACAAACGTTCAACCGACGTGGAACCTACTTACAATTTTTGCCCAACAGGGGAGGATTTATGGTGTTCACATGAAAGAGCGAGTGTGAGTGGAAATCTGAAATCGTACAAACAAACAAAAATTCAATTCCACCACCTGTAATGGATGCTATCAAAGATATATTAGTAGTGTACAAATGAGAGAGCTGGCGCAGTGACCTTTGGGGGCGAAACAATGACTGGCGAACCCCTTTTAGAATGTGATGGCTCTCCAACCCTCCATTAAAATCGAACCCACTTTTAGAATGTGATGGCTCTCCAACCCTCCATTAAACGAACCCACTTTTAGAATGTGATGGCTCTCCAACCCTCCATTAAAATCGAACCACTTTTAGAATGTGAGGCTCTCCACCCCTCCATTAAAATCGAACCCACTTTTAGAATGTGATGGCTCTCCAACCCTCCATTAAAATCGGAACCCACTTTTGAAAACAATGGCTCTCCAACCCTCCATTAAAATCGAACCCACTTTTACAAACGCTACTTTTCAAAACGCCGCTTTTACAAACGCCACTTTTCCTCTCATCGCATGCTTCTTTTGCAAGGGGACATTCGTCCCCACATAATCCACTGGCATGGATATTTAGTGAGGTATAATTTAGACCATCAGTGCACTATTATGTATGGCTTCTAGAGCGTCAAAGGAGAGCAATGGGTAATTGATTAATATACCTAGTGATAATAAAAGCATTTAAAGAGAAGGTTTGTAGTATATAGAAAGACAAAATGGATTTTCAATCAAAACAGTTCGACAGTTACAATTACTGGCGAGAAAATGATATTCGAGGATACTCGAAATTAAAAGGTGGAACTATCGCCTCATTCAATACCACAACGGCTTTTCCAGGTTCCACATGACTTGTTTTCAAGCGAAAGAAGAAGAGGGAGCTAAAAATCAGGTGTTGCGGAAAGTTAATAAAGGAATCTAGCATAAATAAGCACTTACAAACTAAAGCTCATCAAAACTATAAGCCTAAGAAGTCCAGCCATGGGTTCACAGAGATGATTTTGACAATATGCAGGGGCTGCATCTATGACCATTACCAACTACGTGATTTTGTCGATCGCGTGGCATCGCAGGCTATTCCAAACTACGGAGGAAGGCAGACATCAAAGCATACATAGAAAGCTTTTGTTCAACCGTCACTTCGATTTGATTCCGACCTGTTTCAGATTCGCGAGAGAGAAGGCTATAACCCCCAATGAAATTGATACGGCTTTTGAAACCGTTTGGTGACGTATGATGTCCAAAATGAGCACAATCGATGCTTCCCAAAGACTTCTTGAACGATGTTTCATCACTGGTCCGGGGTCTTATACAAAACATCTGAAGAGGCTGCATGGCTGAAGGTTAATTCCAATTTCTCTGTGACATGAAAAAGGGAAGATGAAACGATGACAGAAATGGAGAAAAACTTCAAAACAAAAATGAAGTCATCTTAGAATCAACTGATTGGTAGCTTATTACAGATCAGTTATCCAAAATTATTGACGGAGATGAGGATTTTTGT